AGGTATCAAGCAGGGTGCTAAGTAGGGCAAACTATATTTATAGCTGCTCACAACCTTGTTTAGGGTATTTGTGGCCCTACTTATAACTACTCATGAACCTTCACCCCAATTCCGAAACCTCAGAAGTACCCACACTGCGGGGACTTCGCTCCCAGAATTTGTCAGGCTAGGTTCACGGGACGCGAAAGGAGAGGCCAAGGAGTACCTGACATGAGAAGAGAAGGAACACAGCTGTAAAATTGAAGAACGGAAGTAAAACTAATGAACATCCGTTCATGATACAGAAGGAAAGTTATTGAGTCATTTTTTGCATTTATGATGCAGGGTGTCCAAAAGAAGCGCTGACCCGCACCAGTCTTCGAGAGGCATCCTCACTAAGGAGGCAGCCTGGAACATCTGATGCATCTGCGAATGCATCATCTGCTGCCTGGTTGCAGTCTCTGGTAAAACCTTAAACTACATATCCTGAACCCTACATTAAATATATATATATATACACCCGAAGCACTGAACCCTACATTATATATACCCGAAACATTAAGCCCTAAAAGTGTTTAAGTGCCCCAAACCCTACAACTCTCTGTGGTTGCCTGAACTCAAGATGTTAAGGCTTCAGGATTTGCTACATTTTGGGCAGTTTGCGCAAAAATTAAGGGGAAACTCCAAATATACCCCCCACCACACAAAATACTCTAACCCGTATCACAGGAGCCTCCATGAAGGTGTACTGCCAGTTTGGAAAACCCCATTTCAGGGTGTATGTTCTACTTGGAGATTCAGGGTACTTCGTAACCCATTACAAGTGAAGTTATAACCCACATATTCGCCTCTTAAGTACCCTTATAAGGTTATAATTGGGTTATAGGACAGCTATCATGGGCTACTAGGTACTCTGATCCTCCCAGTAGGGGTAGAAGCGGCGGAAGGGTCATCCTGAAACAACCAAAGCATCCAATCACTGAGTCGCCCCAAGGTCCCCTGAGCCTCTCAAACCCCCACAGCCCAATATCGGGGTCGGAATAACCTTAAACCCTAAACCCTAAACCCAAAACCCTAAGCTATTCCCTGCAAGGCCCCTATATTAATACCCTTACACCCCAAAGTCTGAAGCCCAGAAAACAAAACCCGCTGAACGAGTTCCGTGCCCTGCACTTGGAGGTTCATGGGTAGTTATATATGTAGGGTTTCAAATAGCCTTGATAAGGTTGTAACCAATTGAAACTATAGTAACCCTACGCATAACCCTACTGATGACTACCCATGAACCACCAAGTATGGCTAGTACTCAAGATGATGGTCTCTCGAGAACCGTACAACTAAGGGGTGTATACCAGCGGCCCCAAAAACGGGACCATAATGAACACTGTCGACCAGCCGGGCACAGATCAGCGATTTTGTTAAGGGGCTTCAAGGGTTGAAAGGACACCGCCTAACCCTGAACCCTAAGCCCTGAACCCTAAATCCTAACCCACATAAAGCCTTAAACCCTAAACCCTAAACCCTAAACCTTGAATCGCTGGTCGCGATGTGGGAGGTACTTCGAGACCCTCCCGAAGCCTCTGCCTCATCTGCTCTGCTTGCTGCTCCTGGAGAAAGGCTAGGGTTTGGGGTTTGGGGTTTGGGGTTTGGGGTTTGGGGTTTGGGGTTTGGGGTTTGGGGTTTGGGGTTTTTGGGGTTTTTGGGGTTTTTGGGGTTTTTGGGGTTTTTGGGGTTTTTGGGGTTTATGGCTTAGGGTTTCGACCCCATGCTAAACATTTTCGTGGAGTCGCGTGCGCATCCACGGTTACACAAGTCGCATGCGACAATGGTTAGGGCTATGTAAGGCAACAGCGAATTCGAATGCGCATGGGTAGATAGAATTTGGGGCCGAAGTTGCAAGTAGCGAGTTCTACCTACCACCAAGCATGTAGGTCTCCAAGATTAAAGTAGTTCTGTAGCCAACTTATGCAGCACCCTAGACATGAACCCTCTCCCACCCTAACCCTAAACCCTAATACTAAACCCTAAACCCTGAACCCTAAACCCTAAATCCTAAACCCTAGACAGGCCCTAGACTCTAGACATAAATCCTCTCCCTCTCTTCCTCTCTTAATAATCCAGCTTTCAGGTGCGTCACCCCTCTCCCTAAAAACCCTAAAAGCCCTAAACCCGAAAGCCATAAAACCTTAACCCTAAAACTCTGGGGTTTAGGGTTTAGGAAACAGGGTTTAGGGTTTAATTAGGGTTAAGGGTCCCTAAATCCCAAAACCATCGTCCTTACAGGCCCTGAACCCTCAAACCAAAAGACTCCAAATCCTCACCAACAGAAAAGCACCTCGACCCCATGCAAACCTGTGGCACGTGCCTGCCGCATACGTTCCATGTGCATCTGCTGCTCCGCATATCTTTGCCTCGTTGCGGGTTCAATGGCAGGCTGCAATAACTCTAGAACCTAAACTAAGCTATTCTTAGGGGCGGTATCATGGTACTGTACATACAGAGGATTGACCATCGGAGAGCACTGAGCGACAGCAGTTTGGTCCTGGAACCCGAAACAACCCTAAGGAGGGCTTTTTGTGGTGTAGGACCACCTCAGCCAATTCGCCTTGCATCCTATAAAGCCCAAACCGGTCTTTGGGGTTTGGGGCTACCGCCCGAAAGGGCTCAGAGTCTTATGCAGGGAGTACAGGCGTGGTAGTTCGATCATTGTCTAAGCTATGGCGATGTTGCTGCATGAGACCTTGAATGGTTATTCACAGCTGGAGAATCTTTGGCCCCAAGTCCAAAAATAAACAAGTATTATGCTGGGGGGGGGGGGGGGGGGGGGGGGCAACCGAAGACAAAAGAAGTGCCGGCGGAGCTTACAGCTTCCACTTACACTTTTGCAACCCAGTTGCTGCTCCATGTAGCGCTGCTGCTCGAGCTGTCTCTGCTGCTCGATCTGCATTTGCTGCTGCATGTACATCTGCTGGTCCATGGGCATCATCTGCTGCTCCATATACCTGCGAAGGAGGAAAAAGAGGCTAACATTCAGGGAATTTAGGGTTTAGGATTCAGGGTTCTAACGCCTCGTCGGGACACCATATAGTTTCAGTTGTGTTCCTTAATTCAAGGGTCTTGGGCTCGCTGCGTAAGCCCTCGAAGCCCTGAACACTCTTCCCCCGTGCCTTGGCTGTTCCATCGGTGGCAGCGCATTGCCAAAAGCCTCTGGAGGTGAAACCAACATGGTAGAACCCTCTAAAACCCTGGCCAAGCTTCCACCCTAACAACCACCGCCATCCCAATTCAGAGGCCCTAAACCCTAAACCCTAAACCCTAAACCTAAACCCTAAACCCTAAACCCTAAACCCTAAACCCTAAACCTCCCTGAGCCCTACAACCCAAATCCCTCTTAGGAAGCGGCCTCAGCCAAGTCAGTCTAAACCCTTCAAGAAGTTCCGCCCCAAGCCCCTGAACCTCGGTAGGCCCTCATTTTATATGTTCCCTTACTGGGTTTTTTGAGGGTCATATTGAGGAACTTTAGAGTTTTAGAGGGTTGTAGAGGCCATCCTAGCTCCACAGCCGAGCCAGTAAAAGCCGAAAACCGCAGGCACATTAGGGTTTAGGGTTTAGGGTTTAGGGTTTAGGGTTTAGGGTTCGATTAGGGTTTAGGTCCGCGAGTGGTGTCTCAAGGACAGTAATAGGGCCATAAACCCCAAACTCAGCCTTGGAAAATCAGACGCGCCTCCAGAAACAAAGACCTTCAACCCAACAACTTAACCTCAAGTGCCTAAACCACGAAACTTTGCCACGAAACCCTCAACCCAAGCCCAACACAAAAATGAACCCTGAAAAACCACCGAATCCCACCGCTTGAAGTCGACAATGGGTCCGGGAGAAGCACGGATGGCCCCGCTGTCGGTGGCGCCCTTTTCGCGGGCAGGCGGTAAAGTGGTCTTAGGCTGCCGGCTTCACGGTACATGCTTGCACAGAAATCGCGGGACGTGGCTGAAAAAACAGTAGAACTTAACTGAAGTAAGGCTGCAATCTGCCAGATGTACATAAACTGCATGCCTGCATTCCTGAAGCCCTAGAAACCTCGCCTATGGGATCCTGTATGATCCTACACTCCTCCTACTCGGAAGAAGGGACCCAAATGGCCATCATCCAAGGTTTCGGGTTTCGGGCGAATCCTTCTTGACCTTGCTTTGGTTCTTAGGGTCGTTCCAGTCCCTGAATGGGTCCTTAGCAGGGGGCCCCTTACATGAATGTACCATATACAGCCCGGGGGCACTTACATCAGAACCCTTTAAAGAGGGTAAGGGACCATACTAAGGTTTAGGGTTTGGGGTTTAGGGTTTGGGGTTTAGGGTTTAGGGTTTTGGGTTTAAGGTTTAGGGTTTAGGGTTTAGGGACCATATCACCACCCTTAGATTGGTAGGAGCCCAGAAGGCTCAACTCTAGCTCGAAGACAAGTGCAACCCGCAGGGCGTTTGAAGAGCTAAAGCGGGCTTTGGGGGTTTAGGGTTTATTAAGGGTTTAGGGTTTAGGGTTTAGGGTTTAGGGTTTAGGGTTTAGGGTTTCAGAGCTCCCTACGCAGCCCCGCCTCTGCATCGGCATTTCGCCCATGGGGATTGGGAAGGGAGAGTTCTCGCCCATGGGAGATGGCGCCTCGGTTGTCCATAGGCCCTAAACCCTGAACCCTGAACCCTAAACCCTAAACCCTGAACCCTAAACCCCTAGACCCTAAACCCCAGCCCGAATCTCCAAAAACCCGCTCAATTTTCTTCGGCCGCCCAATGAGGGGTGTCTCCATGGTGCCACTGAACTTTGTCAGCACCAAAGCAGGAAGTAGGCAGGCTCCAAGACCATTTCATCAACTTCAGGTCTTGGTGATATGGGCTATGGGCAGGCTATGAGTATTTCCCAACATAGGTGCACCCCTACCTCTAACATACACCAAACAAAGAATTTTCCTTATTATAGGAATCCCAAAATAGGTGAAACCCTAAAGCCTAAACCCTAAACCAACCCTCTCCAACTCAGGTCGCCGAAAATTCCCAGCTCCTCTGTAGCTCCTGCAAGGGCACGACGAAACTCCTGGGGCAGCGGGTGCCGCGTTCGATCAGCATGCCCCTGGACGTCATACCTGGCTGAACTCGGAACCCTAGAAAAAATGTAGCTTTAGCTGTTTCTTAGAAACGTTATAGTACCCCAAAATTTAAAGAACATTCCCGTCACAGTGCCCCAAAATGAAAAAATATTCCCAAGCATCCCTAAGATACCACCAACCCAGCCCGCACCGTTGATCCAGAGCGAGGGCTGGGGAGGGTCCCCGATAACCTGAACCTCCCAAGGTGCTCCAGGCTCGGCGCCGTTTTGCAAGAATGCCAAACCTTGGTAGCCCAACGAAAACCAGGATACAACAAAAAAGGTTTAGGGTTTAGGGCCTCTGTATACCCGTGGTGGCCCAGGAACCCGATCATCATCAGGGTACCCTTTTTGGGGTTGGCTACCTCACAACTCTAGGGGAACCTTGAACCGAAAGACTAGTGGCAAAAGGGTTCCCCTGGGCTACCCAGAAGCTTTCAGGGTCGTCTCGGAGAGTCTCGGGCAGGCATCCCACCATCTCTCGATCCTTGCTGGCGTTCAAGGGGTGTGTTGTCCAGGTATGTTCCATTGAGAAACGGCCTAGCCCGTCCTTTCTCAACAGCAAGATCTCTTCCTTGTAGTCGTGGAGATCCCAAAGGTTCGTCGGCTTTGTTCCAGTCCTCCGCGTCCAGCGCCCCAGCAAGTCCTGCCGCAGCAGCTGCAGCGAAATCTCTTCACCCGAGGGCAACGGCTCCTCGGCCATCAAGACTCGGTCGCCACTGAGGAGAAGGTTCATGTGCCTGTGATCCTTGGTAGCCATATTCTACAAAAGGGCACCCTTTTACCAGTTGGCTACCTTAATATAAGGGAACCTTGAACCAAAGTGCACCACTGGACTACCAAGGATCTCCCTCCAGCTCCTTAAGGAGATCAGCCACTTTGGAGCCACAAGGAAGAACTTTCGTGGCGTGATGCTCTCCCGTCGCAGCCGCGTGCACCAGCACACGTTGCATGGCGTACAGCCTTTGACGCTCGATCGGCACGCATGCGCACGCAGGCCCACTCTCCCTGAAACTCTGTCTTTTTCAGAGGTGGGTTCCCGCGCAGTTCGGGAATAATCTTACTCCGAATCCCTGAAACCATAAAACCCCAGAAGTTAGAATCGACATTTCTGGACCCCCATGTCTCTGAAGCCCGTCCTCTTGGTGGTCCAGAAACCATATCACCATGAGGGTACACCCATTCCGGTGTTGCTTACTCTAAGCCCCAACCTTTAAGCCCGAAACCCTAAACCCTAAACCCAAGAAAGGGGCAAAAGCGTGCCTAGTTCATGGTTGGGATCGTCGCAAGAGTTTAAACTTCCATTCCCTATTGAGGTTTAAGCACCCTTAAACATGAAAAAAAAAGGTTCCCCCACTATGACAAAGGCACCACCAAGCTACCAAGTCCTGAGAACCGAAGCTCAAGAAACACTGCAGGGGGACTCTGGGATGGTCTCTATAGGCTAGGTTGCCCAGTAACCTAGGATTAAAAAGTGTGCCCTTCTTTGCTTAAGGGGGTTTATAGGGGAACCTAGAGCCCCCCCAAAAAAAGGAATAAGGGCACTACTGGGCATCCTAGTAGGGCTTCGGCCTTCGGATTTGGGATTCCGTGTTAGGGTTTAGGGTTTAGGGTTTAGGGTTTAGGGTTTAGGGTTTAGGGTTTAGGGTTTAGGGTTTAGGGTTTAGGGTTTGGGGCTTAAGGGTTGTTGGATGCAGGGCTTGGGTCGTTGGGGTCCCGCGGTTCAGGCCTGAAGAAGGGCGCCTCTGAGGGCATAGGCTTAAACTAGTTCATGGTGGGGATAATACTAAACATGCAAATGTATATTCCTTATGGGGTTTAAGTACCCTCAAACATGCAAAATGTTAACCGACTGTGACACAAAGTACAGGGCTTCAAGTAATCAACAAAATCAATGGTCATGATTTGATAGTGTCACGCCCAGCTTCAAGTAATCAACATAGTCAAATGTTTACAATTTAAAACATGTTAGGCCCATCTAAAAATTTGGCCTGGAGCTTCAACTTTGAACGGACATGGCGAACTGGGGAAGGGTTCCGGGTTTAGGGTTCAGGGTTTCGAGATCTGAGGTTCAGAGTTGGAGTGCGTGGTTCGGGGTTTAGGGTTTCGGTTTGGGGTGCCCACTCAACGTTTACATCTCTATGGACGACTAGGGTCAGATGGGGATTATCAACCCGAGGTTAAAAATCAACCGCAGGTTAAGACCTTAGGGCCTGAGGGGCTTCCAGCCAGTAACCATCTTCCCCTAAGATTAAAATCCCCACAAAAACACAACCCTTGTAGGCCTGTCGGCCATGACAGGAAGTGTAGGGTACCTACAGATTTCCTATCCATTTTGTGTTGAAGGGGGTGGTTAAATGTTCGTGCCGAGGCCCTAAGCCCTAAACCCATGACCTTCAACTGTTCCTCTCGTGCGGCCCAGCGTCCCCCATGGAGCCCCGCGGAACCAAGAACTGGGACCCTACGGCCGAATCGGCCTGGCAGGGGGCGTAGGGTTTTGGGATCTTAGGGTCACCCGCAAGAAAGCCCAACTAGGATGGCTCTTAAGACCCTCTGAAACATATTCCTGAGTCTGATCCTCTTAAACCCAGTAAGGGAAAAATAGAAAATATCCCAAGGGCCTACTGAGCCCAAATGTGCAATCCCGAAAGCAATATCTATGCACATTTGTCCCGAGAAAGGGGTTTGGATTTCAGCCTCCCGGTAAGTAAATAAACCCTAAATAACCTTCGGGCTCAACATGCCAAGGCCCAAGTTCCAGCCCCCCTTAAGACCTCTAAGTATCATTACAATGGGGCCCTGTCATTCTTCTCTGTTGAAGCCACGGGAGCAAAAAACACCTCTTTAGAGCGCCAAGTTAAACAATCCTAAGTTGGGATGTTCCCCCTCATGCTCACAGTCCTTCATAGGGATTATAGCACTCCCCCTATGATGATCCCTATTGAGGACTGCTAGTATAAGGGGGAACATCCCAAATCCTGGTTACCCTAAACCCTAAACCCTAAACCCTACACCCTAAACTTGGGATCTGCCTCGGCACACTAACAGTCAAACACAGGGTTTTGTACTAAACATCGCGCAATTCCAGCACCAGAAAGTCTGATCGAGTTTGGACCTGGCTCAGCAGACGAGATCACACTTTGGGCCTTGGTTTGTGGTCTTTTCTGGTGCTAGTCACTGTGCTCCTGCTGGTGCTTGTTGATGGTGCCATTGCTTCGTTCTGAGCACAAAAAATAGCACCGGAGAAAGCACAATCATGAGCACAAAAAATAGCACCGGAGAAAGCACAATCGTGAGCACAAAAAAAAAGCACCGGAGAAAGCACAATCGTGAGCACAAAAAATAGCACCGGAGAAAGCACAATCATGAGCACAAAACATAGCACCGGAGAAAGCACAATCGTGAGCACAAATCTCTCGAAGACTAGTATACTAGGAGTATCACCGGAAAAAAGCACAATCATGAGCACAAAAAGTAGCACCGGAGAAAGCACAATCATGAGCACAAAAAAAAGCACCGGAGAAAGCACAATCGTGAGCGCAAAAAATAGCACCGCAGAAAGCACAATCATGAGCACAAAAAGAAGCACCGGAGAAAGCACAATCATGAGCACAAAAAGAAGCACCGGAGAAAGCACAATCGTGAGCACAAAAAATAGCACCGGAGAAAGCACAATCTTGAGCACAAACAAGAGCACCGGAAAACTTCATCACACTCATACATCAGGCCTTCAGGTATGATCATGAGGCACTGAGAAATGTCCAATCTCACGGGTGCTTTATTTTTTGGGTGTGTTTGTGCTGACCATTAGTGTGCTCGGGCAAGTCATAACCCTAAACCCTAGAAGCCCAAATCCAGGGCCCACAAACCCGACACATAGGCCCGGTTGCCTCTGGCTCCTCCGCAGGGCGACGCCCGAAAAGCCTCGGGGAACAGCTGTGGCCTTAAAGGCGGCCTGGGGACGTTTGAGACCGGTTTAGGGTTTAGGGATTAGGGTTTAGGGTTTAGGGTTCAGGGTTTGGGGTTAAGGGAGTTTCGCCCCTGCAGGTTTAGTTTCACAAGGATGTTGTGTTTAGGGCGTAGCAGGGGGGGAGGAGGGGGTAGGGTTCTTTTCGGCCTGTGCTTATGGGGCTCATTTATGGTTTACAGAGTTTGCGGGCTCAAGCCTTGATGGGTCTTGGGGTGGTACACCAACAACACTTCACTCACTGAAGCTAGATCACTCATAGACACCCAAAACCCCTGATGACCTGAACCCCAGCCCTAAACCCTAAACCCTAAACCCTAAGCCCTCAACCCATGAAGCCTTGAACCCAAAAGCAACCCTCAAACCTAACCCTTGAACTCCAAAATCAACCCCCAACCCTAAATCCTCAACCATAAACCCTTGAACTCCAAAAGCAGCCCTAAACCCTAAACCCTAAACCCTGCACCCTAAACCCGTTGAAACCCTAAACCCTGGTCTCCCTTTCAGGTCCCTGCCAGGAGAACCAGCCCTGCTGCTGCGTCTCCTCTTTAGGGTTTAGGTCTTCACGGCTTAGGGTCAGGGTTCAGGTTTCGCAACATAAGCCCCAAAACCCTAAACCCTAAACCCTAAACCCTAAACCCCAAACCCTAAACCCTAAACCCTAAACCCTAAACCCTAAACCCTAAACCTTAAACCCAAAACCCTAAAACCCAAACCCTAGACCCTAGACCCTAGACCCTAAACCCTAAACCCTAAACCCTGAACCCTAAAGAAAGTTCTTGGGATGCCCTAAGCCCTAGACCCTGACCTCCACAGTTCCGGAAACCCTAAACGGACTTTGCGGGGCTGCCGTTCTAAGGAGTGCCAAAAATCCTAAGCCCCCGCCCCCCACAAACTAACCCTAAACCCTAAACCCTAAACCCT